ATGATTTATCTGTCACCCCCTGGAGTATGATTTCTCTGTCACCCCCTAGAGTATGATTTCTCTGTTATCCCCTAGTGTATGATTAATCTGTCAACCCCTAGAGTATGATTAATCTGTCACCCTATAGGGTATGATTTATCTGTCACCCCCTAGAGTATTATTTATCTGTCACCCCCTGGAGTATGATTTCTCTGTCACCCCCTGGAGTATGATTTCTCTGTCACCCCCTAGAGTATGATTTCTCTGTTATCCCCTAGAGTATGATTAATCTGTCACCCTCTAGGGTATGATTTATCTGTCTCCCCCTAGAGAATGATTTATCTGTCAACCCCTGGATTATGATTTATCTGTCACCCCCTAGAGTATGATTGATCTGTCACCCCCTAGAATATGATTTATCTGTCACCCCCTAGAGTATGATTAATCTGTCACCCTATAGGGTATGATTTATCTGTCAACCCATGGAGTATGATTTCTCTGTCACCCCCTAGAGTATGATTTCTCTGTTATCCCCTAGAGTATGATTTATCTGTCACCCCCTAGAGTATGATTGATCTGTCACCCCCTAGAGTATGATTTATCTGTCACCCCCTAGAGTATGATTGATCTGTCACCCCCTAGAATATGATTTATCTGTCAACCCCTAGAGTATGATTAATCTGTCACCCTATAGGGTATGATTTATCTGTCAACCCATGGAGTATGATTTCTCTGTCACCCCCTAGAGGATGATTTCTCTGTTATCCCCTAGAGTATGATTTATCTGTCAACCCCTAAAGAATGATTGATCTGTCACCCCCTAGAGTATGATTTATCTGTCACCCTCTAGAGTATGATTTCTCTGTTATCCCCTAGGGTATGATTGATCTGTCACCTCCTAGAGTATGATTTCTCTGTTATCCCCTAGAGTATGATTAATCTGTCACCCTCTAGGGTATGATTTATCTGTCACCCCCTTGAATATTATTCATCTGCCACCCCCCTAGAGAATGATTGATCTGTCAATCCCTAGAGTATGATTTATATCTGTCATCCCTTAGATGAGTATTACAAATTACACGAAAAAAGAAAGAATACTGTGATGTTACAGCTCATGCAGGAACAGTAAGATAGGATGTCACGTCGTAATCAGCTCTTGACAGAGAGGTCATGTGCAAAAAATGATAGCAAACAGATTGCAGATGCTGAAAACTTTTGTTTTTAAAAGTAGTGCAGTTAATTGAAATGATGGGGAAAATATCTTCAGGAAATCATGGCAATCTCCAACCTTGGGGTGATTATTTGGTTGTCTTTCTTTTGGCACAGCCTCATGTTAGACAACTATTTGAAACAGTGCTCAGGTTGATTCTTTTCTGTCACACCCTTTAAAGTAGGGGAACTTTATATCAATAATGCTAACAGAGATAAGGCTATCCTATCTATCTAACATGAGTTGGTAATATTTAAATTGTATAAACACATGAGTTAGTTAATATTTAAATCGTATAAATACATGAGTTAGTTAATATTTAAATTGTATAAACACATGAGTTAGTTAATATTTAAATTGTATAAACACATGAGTTAGTTAATATTTAAATTGTATAAACACATGAGTTAGTTAATATTTAAATTGTATAAACACATGAGTTTAACGACTTGATGATGGATATGCAAATTAACATGAACATATTTAAACTAGTGATCATGAATGGAAATGACTTTTTACATGAAATAATATCTGAGGTCATCGTTATCAATGTTCTTAAAATGAAGCTGGATATTTGATAGGGAGGGCTACAGCACGCGACGGGACATGCTCTGCCCCTGGAGGTGTTCATTGACCACCTAAATGAAGCCAGCTTTGACACCTGGACATACCTGGAAGACGAACTGTTTCTTGTCATGCGACCAGAGCTGAGAAAGGATATTGGCCAAAATGTGTGTAACTAGCCTTTGATTGCATTGGATACCAAAAATAATTACAGAATATTGAATGGATCAATTATTGTTAATTATCCCCTGCTTTCACCAAAACGGGGGATATTATTTTGGTTTGTCTGTCTGTCAGTCATGATTCGTTTCAGTGCAATAACTACAACAAATGTTAACCAATTTTCTTCAAACTAAGTCACAAGGTTATATGCCTTAAGGGCTCGACCAAGTTCGATGACCACTTTCAGCGGACTTTTTTTGGCAGAGTTATGGCCCCTTGAATAACGAAGAACATCATTATCTGGCGTTTCTGTTCATTAACTCTCGCAAATATTATCCGATTGTCTTCAAACTTAGTAACAGGGTTCAACGCATTAAGGGCTCTGCCACATTTGGCAGAGTTATGGCCCCTTGATTAACAAAAAACATCATTATCTGCAGTTTTCTTCAAACTTGATAACAATGTTTGTGTTCCTCTGTCTTTCCACCAATCTTAGGCACTCTTTGGTTTTCGTGTGATAATTGCTGTCGATATTGTTAAGGTGTTTCAACCAAATTTCTTATGCATGCTAAGTTTGCCAACCGATGTGATTTGTGCATATTTACGGATAATCAATGAGGTATAGGGCTATTTTTTTCTTCAAGCTTCAAGCTATACATTATGTCTCAACAGCACGAAACTTACATGTTTAAACCTAACCTCAATAATGTTAACCTACAATATGTGCTGCAAGCGGAGGATATAAATTCTGCAAATTTGCTTGTTTGTATTTACAATTGCACTCAGTGATTGTTAATTTGTATTGACAATTGCGCTCAGTGAGCATTTTTTTCTTTCAAATTAAACCCAGTGAATACCAGTTTAGTGAAACGGGCTTAGTAGGAATATACTCATTGTTAGTTTTTCTTTATTTCAATTCATTTTATAATCAAGTGTGTATTGCATATAGATTTATAAGCATCGTGTGTATTGCACAATACATAGCAAATATTGTGCGATGGCGGAGACCATCTACAGTTAATTCAATTCCATAATCTTATTTTATACAGACAGGTCATGACATTATAATAAGTGGAAAAAGAAGTTGTCATAATAAAGAGCTTCTCTAGAGAAAACTTTCAGCAGATTCTTTTCAAGCATGATTTAAATGTATGAAATTATAAAAATTAGCATTTCAATAACTAAATCTTCAAAAATTTCAATCACATATTTTCAAAATATAAGGTGCCTACAGGAATTATCTTTGTATGTTTGTAACATCAAATGCTATTGTTAATTATGCTTATGCATACAAATACCTTCAGTCTTTTGGGGGTTTGTTACTTGATTTAAAAAAAAATAAAAAAATAATGTGACAGGAATATGCTGAGGAAAATTTCTTTAACCTGTTTCCGGAGATGGTGCGTCCCTGGGATTGTATGATGCTGTGGGGAACAGCCCATTCCCGCTCCACCCTACACATGGACCCCTATAATTGGACTGGTATTAGTGCAGTTCTCCAGGGACACAAAAAGTGGAAGGTGCAGTACACATATATATACATGATATAACTTGCCAACCATTTATTGTCTGAAAAAAATTAATGAAAGCATTTTACTTCATGCAAATTTCCTATATTTTAGAAGGTTTTGACTTAAAATAAAAAAAGAATAATATGAGGATGATAAAATTTAAATATGATTTTTAAACAGTGTAACAATTCTCTGATATAACCCATGCCATAGACAATACATTGTTTTGGAAACTTTGGTATCATGATACCTTAAAGGTCTGTATTGAGTTACTACCCCTATTCCACTCATAATATTATTGGGCCGCATGTTATGGTATCTATTACAATAATGCTGATAATAACAACTATAATGAGAAATGATATTTATGGACAATACCTTCAAGTAGAAATACTAAAACTGTATAGAACCTTTCAGTATACACTACTACATGTACATTGTGCATACTCATTTACGTAAAAACAAAATGAATTAAGCCGGGTAGAATTTTGAGTTTTTAGGTCATTATATTCTATAACCCTTAAAGATATGTTCTCTGTTGTGTTGAACTTGCAGATACAGTTTATTGTGAAAACAAATGTTACAGCAAAAACTATAATTAGAAGAGCATGTTACAGATAATACAAAAGGGAGGCAACCCTAGGCCTAGGCATGCTAAATATTAAAAGCAAAGGTTATTGTTAAGTATACATGTATGCTATACTGTCTACTTCAGTTGATTCCTCCTGGCCAGGACCATCTCCTGTATGTAGACCCTGAAGCTCGCTGTGGATTTCCACTCGAGTGCCGCAAATATAATAGGTGAGAATCTACATACTTAGATTTAGGAATCAGCATAAATATACTCACAGTAATCTGATTGGTAGGGATCAGTCAGGTGTCTCTTTTAAATTTCACACAGTGATCAGCCAAGATAAGTATGGGTATATACACCTTGTGGAGCTTTAATCCATGGAGAATACTCTACAGTTTTAAATGAAAATTATTAATATTTGAATTTTACTCTCAGCTCTGTACCTCTCTATATTAGGGCTACATAGATTAGGAGAAATTAATTGGTGTGCTATAACACACTGCATGCAGGAAAGGTGTGACTTTTATTGTGCTGCTGGTGACCTCTCTTTTTTCTTCAGTGTTTTACTAGTATCTGCTCTTTTAGTTTTCCATATCGTTTGATTTATAATGAGGCCTATTAACATTAACATGTAAGAGTTATAGACACCACTCTCTGATTCCTTCAGTCCCATTGATGCATTTGATGTGGATACCAAGAAATACCCACGCTTTAAACGGCTGCAAGTCCTTGAAGCAGATGTCTACTCTGGTGAAATGCTCATTATACCGACGGGCTGGTACCATCAGGTTAGTAGGACTTATATACCACATACCACATACATTTTGTACCTTTCTAAATACAACAGGAGGCCAGTCCTGAGGGGGATTCCTGGATCTGACATGAAAAGGTATAGGGTCACCTGCAGCTGGCTGACCGCATCTGTTTTCTCCAGGTGCTCTAGCTGGGTTTAAGACCCACTGCATGCTAACATTCGGGCCAGCAAGAGTGATTTATATAAGTTGAAATAACTTGTTTAATTATTGTTGTAAAATAAGTAAAGATTATATATTCTGTCTTTTCGTATTGCAGAGTTATCTGCTCTTTTGAGCAGGTGTTGATTGTTACGACATTGGTTTGTGTGAGAAAATTACGTCGTTTTCTCAAAAATTTGTGACGTTACTCTCACAAACAAACGACGTAACAATACCTGCTCACAAGAGCAGATAACTCTGCAATACGAAAAGACGGAATAACCTATCTTTCTAATGAGAAAACCAATAAACTATAAGATATGATATACCACTCACTACTATGATGAGAACATCACTTAACTTCTTATATATGTACCACATACTGCCTACCTTTCTGGTGAGAAAACCACTGAACTACTAATACCACATACTGCCTACCTTTCTGGTGAGAAAACCACTGAACTATGAAATAAGATGTACAATGTACTTACTACTAGGATGAGAAGACCACTTTACAGTGATATACCACTTACCACTTTGATGATGAGAAAACCACTGAACTATAAAATATGATATACCACTCACTACATGTACTATGATGAGAAAACCACTAAACTGTGATATGCCACCTACCACATTGATGGCGTTCAGAATTGATGATACAAAACAATATCATCAGAAAACAAATGAAATTATGGACATCTAATTATATATATAAATCAGCTAATCATGGAAGAGGTCAGATCAGTTGCGAATCAGGCAAATATATTTTTGATAGGATATGAAAAGAGAAAAAGATTCATCCACCACACTTAAGGTATATCTCAGGTTGAGGTTTCTCTGTCGTACCTCCATGGAAGGGGAAGATTCTATTAACTTTTCCTCATCGGTATACAGTACAGGTAATTTTTTTTGTGGCCATCATGTGAATGAATCTGTCATCAGGATAATGCAGGTGAACTGACTACTTATAATTACACCTAGTGACACAGTCTGTCATCAGTATAATGCCGGTCAACTTAATACTTACACCCAGTGACACAATCTCTCATCAGTATAATGCAGGTGAACTTAATACTTACACCCAGTGACACAATCTCTCATCAGTATAATGCAGGTCAACTTAAAACTAACACCCAATGACACAATTTGAAGAAACTATGTTAAAAAATTTGAACCGAAAATAGATAAAAACTTGAGATAATTATAGTTCTCACAATTGTATAAAATATAAACTGGTATTAAAGCAAGCAAGGAAAATGTCCTAAAATTAATCATCCTTGAAATTCCAGTGGTTACACTCACATAAATTCTCTGCACCCCTGGATCGTTTCCTTATTTCAGGCCTTTAACGTAGAACAGACACTGGCACTGTCACAACAGATGATGAACAGGAACAACTACCTGGCAATACTGGAGGAAATCATCAAGGCAGGGAATTTAAAGAGGAAGAAGTTACCCACTTACTTTAGTACCCTGCTCCCTCCAGATCAGGTGAGATAGATATTATTGCGGCGACTGATCTTAAGATAATAATAATAATGATATACAACATTTATATAGCGCCCTATATAACTCTGAAGTGCTTTACAACATATGGATAATAGTATTATTTATAATTGTGAAAAAAAATTGATTACAATCACCATTATACATTAAGCAAGAAGATAATCATCTCAATGTGCACATCAATGAATAAATTAAGGGTGGTAAGTACACAGTACAAATAGTCTAAAATACAGAGGTGAAGAGGTGAATTTTGGTGTTGGGCCAAGTGAGCTTATGGCATGGTGCGGCGTCCGTCGTCCGTCATCCGTCCGTCGTCCGATCATCGTCAACATTTTACTTTAAACAACTTCTTCTGAATAACCAAGACGCATAGGGTGATGATATTTGGCCAAAAACATGCTGGGATGAAGGGGTACCAAGTTTGTTCAAATAAATGACCTTCATCCATTTTCAAGGTCACAGGGGGTCAAATATGTTAAATTCTTTAAACAACTTCTTCTGCATAACTAAGAGGCATAGGGTGATGAAATTTTGCCAGTAACATGCTGGGATGAAGGGGGACCAAGTTTGTTCAAATACATGACCTTGACTTATATTCTAGGTCACAGGGGTCAAATATGTTAAATTCTTTAAACAACTTCTTCTGAATAACCAAGAGGCCTAGGGTGATGATATTTGGCGAAAAACATGCTGGGATGAAGGGCGACCAATTTTGTCCAAATAAATGACCTTGATTTATTTTCAAGGACACATGGGTCACATATGTTTAAAACCTTTTAACAACTTCTTCTGACTAACCAAGAGGCCTAGGGTGATGATATTTGGCCAAAAACATGCTGGGATGAAGGGGGACCAAGTTTGTTCAAATACATGACCTTGACTTATATTCTAGGTCACAGGGGTCAAATATGGTTAAAACATTTAAACAACTTCTTCTGAATAACCAATAGGCCTAGGGTGCCTTAATTTGGCCAGTAACATGCTGGGATGAATGGCTACCAAGTCTGTTTAAATAAATGACCTTGATTGATATTCAAGGTCACAGGGGTCAAATATGTTTAAAACATTTAAACAACCTCTTCTGAATAACCAATAGGGCTTGGGTGCATACATTTGGCCAGTAACATGTTGGGATAAATGGCTACCAAGTTTGTTCAAATAAATGACCTTGGTTTATATTCAAGGTCACAGAGGTCAAATATGTTTAAAACCTTTAAACGACTTCTTCTGAATAACCAAGAGGCCTAGGGTGTTAAATTTGGCCAGTAACATGCTGGGATAAAGGGCTACAAAGTTTGTTTAAATGAATGACCTTTACCCATATTCAAGGTCACAGGGGTCAAATATGTTAAAAACCTTTCAACAACTTCTTTTGAATAACCAAGAGGCCTAGGGTGATGATATTTGGCCAGTAACGTGCTTGGATGAAGGGCTACCAGGTTTGTTCAAAAGAATGACCTTCAACCATAATCAAGGTCACAAGGAGCAAATATGTTCAAAATATTTAAAGAACTTCTTCTGAATAACCAAAAAGCTCAGGATGTTGATATTTAGTCAGTAGCATGCTGGGATCAAGGACTACTATGTTTGTTAAAGTGAATGACTTTGAATTATATTCAAGGTCACAGGGGTTAAATTTGTTTAAAATCTTAAAAAGACCTCTTCTGAATAACCATGGGTCCCAGGATGTTGATACTTTGCAAGTTGCATCCTGAGATGAAAGGCTATAAAATGTATTTAACATAATGACTTTGTTCGATTTTCAATAATAGGGGTGAAATGTTTAAAAAAAATATAACAGGTTCTTTTGAATGAATTTTAATCATAAATACTGATATTTTGCCTGTAGCTTTATTTTAGATCACTTTTAAGGATACAAGTGTGAGATTTATACCAGGTGAGCGATGCAGGCCCATTGGGCCTCTTGTTTGCACTAACTATTTAATTTTGTTATCCCCCGCTTTCACCGAAACGGGGAATATTAATATGGGTCTGTCTGGCCGTCTGTCTGTTTGTCTGTCACGCTTCGTTTCAATAACTACAACAACTATAAACCGATTTTCTTCAAACTTGGTCACAGGGTTAAATGCCTTAAGGGCTCAGCCAAGTTGGATGGCCACTTTCAGCAGACCCCATTTGGCGGAGTTATGGCCCCTTGAATAATGAAAAACATCATTATCTGCCTCGCTTCGTTTCCGTACAATAACTACAACAAATATTAACCGATTTTCTTCAAACTTGGTCACAGGGTTTAAATGCCTTAAGGGCTCAGCCAAGTGCAATGGCCACTTTCAACAGACCTCATTTGACGGAGTTATGGTCCATTGAATAATGAAAAACATCATTATCTGCCGAGCTTCGTTTCCGTGGAATAACTACGACAAATTTTAACCGATTTTCTTCAAACTTGGTCACAGGGTTTAAATGCCTTAAGGGCTCAGCCAAGTGCAATGGCCACTTTCAACAGACCTCATTTGACGGACTTATGGTCCATTGAATACTGAAAAACATCATTATTTGCCGAGCTTCGTTTCCGTTGAATAACTACGACAAATTTTAACCGACTTTCTTCAAACTTGGTCACAGGGTTAAATGCCTTAAGGGCTCGACCAACTTCGATGACCACTTTCAGCAGACTTTATTTAGTGGATCGAGTTATGGTCCCTTGCATAACGAAAAATGTCATTATCTGCTGCGCTTCGTTTCCGTGCAATGACTACAACAAATGTTAACCGATTTTCTTCAAATTTGGTTTGATTTTGATGAAAATTGGTGTATAGGGATATTAGGGGACTGCGAAGTCAACCTCATAGGTTTCATTGCCATAGCAACCACACGGAGGCTTCTGATTGGTCGAAATTTAGATATTGTTCGATTTTGATGAAAATTGATGTATAGGGGTATTAGGGGACTGCACATTCAATCGCATATGTTTCATTGCCATAGCAACTACACACAGGATTCAGATTAGTTGCAATTTAGAAATTACTCAATTTCACTCAAATTTAGTATGTACTATGGCAATGCGATCCTTTTCTGATGCATCTTTGCGACTACAGGGGCAGTTCGGGGGACATCTGTAATGGTCCCCCATCACAATTAGTACTTGTTGCTGTAGATATTGTTAAGATGTTTCAACCAAATTCCTTATGCACATCCAACTCATGCGAAGTTTGCCAACCGATGTGATTGGTGCATATCTACGGATAATCAATGAGGTATAGGGCTTTTTTTTTCTTCTTCAAGTTTCAAGCTATACATTATGTCTCAACAGCACGATACTCACATGTTTAAACCTAACCTCAATAATGTTAACCTTCAATATGTCCTGCAAGCGTGGGGATATAAATTCCATGAATTTGCTTGTTAAAACTGATGAGAGATTTACCATAAAATTCTGCTTTTATTTCTTCCAAGGTGAAAGTGTTGATGTCACTCCTCCCTAAAAAGGTGCTACAGCACGGTCACGACGTCACAAAGGACATATTGGAACAAATCAAGAAAACTAAGGACAATCAAAATAAAGTCAAATCAGGGCTAGAGGATGGACAGGAAAACATGTCTATTTGGGTATGAAGTCAGGGCTAGAGGACAGCCAGGAAAACATGTCTATTTGGGTATGAAGTCAGAGCTAGAGGACATCCAGGAAAATATGTCTATTTGGGTATGAAGGCAGGGCTAGTGGACAGCCAGGAACACATGTATATTTGGGTATGAAGTCAGAGCTAGAGGACAGCCAGGAAAATATGTCTATTTGGGTATGAAGTCAGGGCTAGTGGACAGCCAGGAACACATGTATATTTGGGTATGAAGTCAGAGCTAGAGGACAGCCAGGAAAATATGTCTATTTGGGTATGAAGTCAGGGCTAGTGGACAGCCAGGAAAACATGTATATTTGGGTATGAAGTCAGAGCTAAAGGACAGCCAGGAAAACATCATGTATATTTGGGTATGAAGTCAGGGCTAAAGGACAGCCAGAAAAACATGTCTATTTGGGTATAAAGTCAGGGCTAGAGGACAGCCAGGAAAACATGTATATTTGGGTATGAAGTCAGAGCTAGAGGACAGCCAGGAAAACATATATATTTGGGTATGAAGTCAGAGCTAGAGGACAGCCAGGCAAACATGTATATTTGGGTATGAAGTCAGAGTAGAAGACAGCCAGGAAAACATGTCTATTTGGGTATGAAGTCAGAGCTAAAGGACAGCCAGGAAAACATGTATATTTGGGTATGAAGTCAGTGCTAGAGGACAGCCAGAAAAATTTGTCTATTTGGGTATGAAGTCAGAGCTAGAGGACAGCCAGGAAAACATGTCTATTTGGGTATGAAGTCAGAGCTAGAGGACAGCCAGGAAAATATGTCTATTTGGGTATGAAGTCAGGGCTAAAGGACGGTTCTGAAACTGTGTCAAGAAAGTTTGCCCATAAATGTGTATGAATAACAGCAAATATCAACATGTCTTATCAATTGTTTTTTTTATTCATTCCAGCAAGTTAATTATGTAATTATTTGATCTCCAAAGATGTCTCATATTTCCATGTTGTTTGTTAGAGACTGTTGTTTGGAATGTACTTTTTGTGTAGGTATTCTTTGTAATTCCATCGCATTAATTGTCAAATACTTATTTGATCTCCAATAATGTCTTACAGATTTTAGCTCGCCTATTCGGAGAAAAGGGTTAGTTAATGAGATTTTAGCTCGCCTATTCGGAGAAAAGGGTTAGTTAATGTAGTGAAACTGGCATCAGCATCCCACTTACTGAGGTTTAAGTTCTTGGGCAAGTTTTTTCCAGACAGAGTTGGACCACCACCATCAGTGGGCTGTTGTCTATTATAAGGTTGAAGTATTTATATGTAGTGTTAGCAGTGTGCTGAACCAATACTTTCATATTTTAGGGGCCAAATCAGCTTAACCGGACCTGGTTAAAGTTTTGGGGCAAGTTTGCATGTGCAGTGTTGGATTGGTCACCACCATCAATACGCTGTTGACTACATCACGTTGTCTGGTCATCTCTTCTTTTGAAATGCACAACATGTTAAGGTACAGCAAAACCTTGTTATATTGCCACCATTTGTTTCAAAGAAATATTGGCATTATAAAGGGGTTTGGCAATGAATTGAGGGAAACGTATGAAGGAATTCTTAATAAAAACATAATTAAGGGACCTGAAATATGTTGGCGGTAAGCGAGGTGGCAAATAAAATAAAGGACCTTATATCAAGGTTTTTACGTGTTTCTATTGATATTTTCCATCTTACAACATATTTCACCAATAGGCGAGCTATATTGCTGTTCTCCAACAGCTCTTGTTTCTGTTGTTTGCTACAGACAAATTGTTTGGAATTCCAGGTACAGTTTATTTGGGTTTTCTTTGTTATCAATGTTTTAGAAACTATCTTGAATGCATATATTATGTATTTTGTCGTTTTTAAAAGTAATCGGGCATTAAAAGCAGGCCCTGGTACCGGTGATACTGTCCGTCCACAGCGTATATGCTGGTCAACTTGACCCTAACAGATTTAGATGATTTTATGTTTTCTTATTAAAGTTTGAACTTGGTTTAGTGAGCCGTATGTGTTGTTGATAAACTTGAAGTATGGTTTACATTCCAAATTATTGATTTGTTTAAATTATTGTCAGATTTGCTATTTATTTATAGGAAAACAAGTTCAATTAAGCTTTACATTTTTTATTTAAATGTATATATAGTTATCAGGAATACCTAGATATGTGCATATAAAGGTTTACCGCTACAGTTGCAGTTCATGGGCAAATGAAAGACGTACAGTTATTCATGACAAATACATGTACATGTAGTTCTTGGGCCGGTTTCATATGTCAGTGTTATACACTAAAAACTCATGAAGAAGATTTATATTGATGGGTATACATGTAACCTACAGGTAATATGTACTGTGATAGATAGTACACCAAAATACAGGTACTGTAGGATATTATAGAGATTAGTTTTTGAGATAAATTTGCAGGAAATGAGAATTTAAAGATATTATGTATGGTAAAATACATATCTGATGACCAGTATAGAAGTAAACAAAGTTTTTATTCAGTATTACACATTTTTTGGTAGCAAAAATGCATGTCCAGCAGAGGTGTACAAAAAATATAACAAAATGTCACTGTATGCACAACATGTACCACACAAATTAATACTGTAGTGGATAGCACTGTACCACTACATGTGCAATAATATGTCGCTTAATTTGTACCTTTTTTTGAAGTTGTCTATGATATTAGGTTTTCAAGTGATTTATTTATACAAGGGGAGCCTTGTACATAAACATAGAATGGTCTGTGATGAGTGATATGCGCATACTATTTGTATGTTTATATTAATGCCTTTGTTTTTATGAAGGCTGTGTTTGTTCATATCTTAATAATGTCCCCCCCCCCTGCCCTTACAAAAGTACCTGAAAATAGACTCGTAATGAAGAGGGATAGAACCAACGACCTGGTTGTCTGCTGTGGTAAGTAGGTATAGTTGTAGGAATCAAACATGGCTACCCACTGGTATTCAGTAGAGTTTTATCACGGTAAATACAAAGGAGGTATAAGAGTGAGCTTCTACATCTAGATTCCGTAGTTTTATTATCGGTTTTAACACATAATGTACTGTACATGTTATCCAGTGAATATACCAATGTCATATTTTTTTGCGTATTAACCTATGTAATATGACCTATCAGCCCTGTGATTGGTTGTAAGCTTCAATTGTTTCACGTTTCATAAATCTCATATGAAATGGAAACTCATGTAAGATCCTATATGTATGTTTTGAATACATGTAGCTACATCTAGGCTAGTCACCAGCTTGATGACGGCTATCCAACTACACTGTAGTTGAAAACATGTTAAACAAAAATAAAACTAGGGAAGCTAGATGTGGAAGCTCCTGTCTATATATCCTTTGTATTACACAAATATTTACATCAAATATTTATGTTTTGTATTTGATGTCGATTTTCACTAAATGGAACAACCTGTCCCTGTATCTCCAGTGTAATGTTTATGACGTTATAATAACCTGTCAATCATCATACCAGAGTTCTAGGCCCACATTGATGAAGTAACGTTCTCATGCTCAAGCATGGATTCTGTGCTCAAACCAACTTTCTTGTTCATATGTAACTTGCTTCAATCATGTCAAACAACCAAATAGCCATGTTTTAAGATTGAAAACAGTATTCAGCTTTAAGTCTCTTCAAAGGTTTTCCAAATCATTGACAACATTTTTTTTTTTTATTAATTTATTACGGGAACACGATTAGGCTTGAGCGCAAAATCCGTGCTTGAGCATGGGAAGGGTTCATGAATATGTGCCCAGGTCCCATTACTGACACCAAGCTTAATTTGTTAATTTTGTATTGTAGCCATGCAGAACAAACCTAGATATTTGAAGTTTCACATGATTATCATTTCACATGGCATAAAATACCTGCCAGTTTTTGTGATGGTGCATCATCTATCCATTTGGCATAGTTTTTTTCTCTCAAACAGCTTGATCTTGTTAAGATCCTTACGACATGAAGCATTGGTATAGGGTTTGAAGTTTCCTGGGGTGGAGTACTACCTAATTTGTTCAGGTGAACGACCTCATAAGTTAAAAATACATCTTTGAAAAGATCCATATGTTCAAATGAATGATTTTAACCCTTTTGCTGGATCACAGGTGGTAAGTGTACATCACCATTATTTGTGTGATATAGGTGACAGAGTATATATCGCACTAGTCACTAAAAGTTTCACTGCTTATGCGCGATATCAAACTATACAAAGTTCTATTAAGTTTGTAAAATTACTTGTGATCTTGCACCAATTTGAAGGCCACAGATTCGAGATGTATTTTCCAACACCATTTGGCAACAGGTGAATGATACAGGTCAGTTTGGCCCCTTTGGTTTATGGGAAACATGATGTCTCTCCTTTTGTTTTTGAAGATCGAGTTCCAAGTTACTGTTGCCTTTTTGAATTGACAAATGTTTATATCCTGGTTTGTCTATGTGTTTTGATGCTGTTTTTCTCTATTTTACTACATGTATAGCTAGTAACTTAATTTAGCAACGTTTATTTTAAGAGTTTTTATATTTTCATGAAAAAATGTGTTTCACATCAAGGACAGTCACCTTTGTTCACCAAGATCTGAAACTTCTCTGATTTACCTACAAAGTTTCAATGAGTTTAATAATATAGCAACATATTGTCTTGTGTAAAACTATTCACCCTTTTCCCCATCCCTAAAGGAGAGAGAAAAGTTTACCACAAAGCATTTAATCTTCTGATTGTAAAAGTTACGAGTTTTGATTACTCGGGAAATCCTATAATATCTGTCTCTTTAACTCTGGAAAGCACTCTTTTTAATGTGTTTTATCAAGTTTTATTGACACTGTATTTTATTCTTAAGTGATTCTACAAACCTTCAAACGTGTCACAATAACTTGACAATAATCCTTTCACCACTCACTCAGGTAAACCATAATTGACTAATTTAAATTAATAGTAAAACTTATGTTATAGTGTAAAGAATCTGTTTCATCCATTAATTCAGCATTTTGTTTTTATTATAAACTGTCAGTTGTGTGCTTTTTAAACCCCTTGATTCTGTAACATAGTCAATGTTTGAAATATTTATTTTATCATATTTGTTTTGTCATACATGTACTCTGTATTTTCAGTTCAATATGTTTTCATTACCATGTTTTATTGGGTTGTTTTCTCAGTTGTATCATTGATATTTGTTTGTTCTTTAATTCTAGTCAAGCTTTTGAAAAGTATGTTTTACAAATTCATGTCATTCTGCATAATGTTAACATTCCAAAACTATAGTAATTCTTACACTACTATGTACATGATGTATGAATGATTCCCTCATTGATAAGCAAATACAAATAAAGCACAGCGCCAATTTCTGGTGTAAGGCGAGGAAACGTGGCATCAGGGTAACAAAATATCACATCGTTAGATGGATCAATATCGATCGGATTAAAATCATCTGTTACATGGCGTAGTACGAAGTTAACGAAGCCATGTAACATATGATTTTAATCAGATTGGATCAATATTTTCTCATAGCTGCATGGTACTCTAACCCTTTCACCACTGTAGGTTGTAATGGACTCATCCAGATCAATGCATGGTAGAGTCTACTAAAGTTCCATAGGGGTGAAAGGTTAAGTTTATCATTTTATCAGGAGTTTATTTTCCGTTACTTTATTGGTGCTTTTGTTTCACTTTTGTATGCCAGTTAATCTAAAAAATTGGCCAAGCCTTAAAAACATTGCAACTGCAAGAGCTGTTTGCATGAAAAAAAAACTACAAAATTGAAAACCTAGGAAAATATATTTCACAGTAGACAAAGTTCAGGAATGAAATTTCTTATATTGATATGGACATATTTCAGGAATCAAATTTCATCAGTGATAAGTCTTATTCAATGGTAACATAATATGTACATTTTTATTATCAGCGATATTTCATACTTAAATATTTGTTAAAATCAAATATATTTGGTAGTTAAAACATTGTCCCAGGCAGGGAGAGATGTGTTGTTTAGTAGGTAGTTTACTTGAAGTGATGTTGCTTTTGGATCAGTAAGCCTGTACATTGTGTACTGTACTTCTTGTTTTATGGAAGGTTACTATGCAATCATAGTACCGAAATTATCAATCTGTACCCGATCCATGCATTAACTCATTCACCCCTGAAAACACATTTGAACTCTTCCAATTAAGAGATTGAAATTTCAGGGGTAAAGGAGTTAAACAACCTTGTAAACATCATACTTCTCCAGCGATAAGTCCATACTCAACCTGACCTATTTATACAGATGTTTTATAGGTATGGGCTCAACTTGAATTATCCCATTTCTTCTTCACTTCTGTTGTCTGTGACTGATCATCAGAGTGCCATAACATGTTTCAGATTGATCAGGGAGACACAATAAAGATATGGAAGATTGCTACTACTTGATCTGGTCTATTGTATAGAGGAGTAGGGCACCAATGTTTTATTTTTTGTTGTACATGTATACAAAATATTTGAACTTGTATGATTTAATTATTTTATACCTACACATTTTTCTAATAAAAATTATCAGTTTTTTCCTTGTAACACCAATTACATTGTAGCTTGTATATGATTGTGTGAAGGGTCACAAGTCATAAAACTAAGTACAAGTACTTACTAGAAATGGATTTGATATATTTTTACATTATTTTGTACTGTTTCATATAATAATAAAATAATTCATTGTACACATTGTGTCGTGATTTTTTCCTGACCTGGCGGGAAGGGTCAAGCATGTAGCATCTATATCTTAAATGAGGCATTTAGAACATATACAGTAAGAATTTGTTCTTAAATTGGCTGCCTTGGAGATTTTCTGGTGCTAAACCCTATTCCTACTAAATGGTTGTACGAGTTACCAGTTGGTGTGACCATTTAGGGTGGAGGAAAGGGGACCCTAAAGATTGTTTTTATGTACACTAAGCTTTACTACTTCAAAACGTATCCATATACTCACTAAATAAGTGACAAATTCATTCATTCTACAAGGAATGGCACCTGGGTCCATCCTCATACCAATGACTTAGTCCCTGCATGATATCTTTGAAATAACCAAGAACCTTGGTGTAAGTTTAATTACAATTTTTTTTGGAGGACACTGATCAGCCCCAGGGTGCGGCCCCTGGTTGTAACCCCATCCCATAACCATTTACGTACTGTAATTGTTTGGCATGGAGAAAAAAAATGTCTATTTCATATAGGATCAGCCAGTCGCTGGGGATTTATTCCCAAGGCCATAACATTAATCAGTTGATATTCCATCCTATAAGTATATATACCATTGCTAGGCATGGGGAGGCAAAAGAATCATGCTACCAGGATTGGTCCCTGGGTCAGTCTCTCCCTTAGTGAGAAGGACCAAGAGTTATTACATGGAAACCATTAAGGTTCCATCCTATAACCACAAATATGTATATATATAATTGTTAGGCATGAAGAGACAAACGCATTATTGCTACATGTAATAGGATAATTTACCTCTGGGTCTAACCTAATTGCTGATGATTTAGTATCTGGCCATGGGTCATAAAATACACCATATATAAATAAAAAGCCTAATATATTCATGCCAACATGATTCGTCTCTGGGTATGTCTAGTACCTTACTCATTCATTGAAACAGTTAAGATTCGCCCCCTTTAAGAATAGAAACCATATTGCTAGGCATGGATAGACAAAACGCTCAAGTTTTGGATTCTGGATACGTACATGTAGTTCCAAATTTCATAAGCAGCCATATACGCATATATATATGATGTCAACCTACTTTTAAAGCTTGCTTGGTCCTCTGAACCTGGGAATTAACGGTTGTTGTGTAAGGGACTGAAGTGCAATGCCCGAAAATTAAAGTGAAAACATATTTTGTTGGAACACTTGATATTTTTCCTTCGTGTTTTTTTGCCGAATTTCTAAGAAGCATCATTGAGGAAATATAAATCAAATGTTATATGCAGTTAGGGTGTTGCCTTCCATGGTTCTTAAACACACAGTAACAAAAATACAGATATTGAAGCATAGCTTTCTGTTACATCATTGTATGGTCAAATGTCTGGAGTAATCTCGGACGTTGCGATCTTTTATTTCCCGTCAAAGCATTCATCTATACAAATATAGTTTGAAACTGGATCCTGGAATTGCAACTCCTCATCGTCTCTTCGTCGTTCGTAAATATTAGTACCATCTTCTGGAACTACTTCTCGGTGGTACCCGGATGTATTTCTACGCGCTCCTTCGAATTCTCTCTATGTGGTAGACATGTGGAGAACAAATGCCAAACGGTATGTAACTTTGTTGTGGACAACTCGTACACATTTTACACCTTTCTGTGCAAATGCTTCACTGGTCATTTGTCTGATGACGGTGACAGTGTACATACCGTACAATCATTGAAACGTCACATAGAAACTCTTATTGGTTGTGTAAAAAGACCATTTCATAAACCTAACGTTACCAACCTGAGGAAGATGTTTAAAAAAACAGGTATGTCACTTTAATTTACCGCCTGCAGGTTGTGTTCAGGAAGCTTACTCTATGCTGCTCCTCGGAATCCTGTAAAGAACAGTTAAAACTCGCATTCCTATCAAAAATATTAAAGTGTTGTTATAATGGTTGTCTGGCTTAATTACGGTACTACTGTAAGTACTTAAACGCCCCCCCCCCCCCCCCCTTCCCCTGTTTAGAAGCAAAATGTGAAGTCATCTGTATATCATCCGTGAACTCAATATACACGTGTAAGTGTGTAAGTAAAAAGTTCCTCAGATGGACTTTTAATTGATCTTAATACGTCTCCTGTAATTACATATTAGCGTAACACATTCATCATTGAGGCCTTTGTATCTATTATCCCTGACACGAACCATATGGACCGAAACTAAGATTCCATTTGATTTGATGCTTCGTGTATTATGTCCTCTCAAGGTGAATTTTATACAGGATCATCAACACCTTCCAAATATACAAATGTACTTTTATACCATTTCCCGCCCACAAATTACAATGTACAGGTTTTTAGCTCCAGTTTGATAATGAAGGGACTGGCCCTCGCAGAGACGTATAATATAACACTATGCGTCATATTTTGTCAGATTTTTTTTCTTCACAGAGACGTAGACATGTATATGTACATGTATTATACACGTCTCTGGTCTACACTGGGAGCAAATATCAAAATTAGTGTCGCGTCGACATCAGTTTCCTCTGATGCGTCCTAGTATTTTCCCGTCAGATACCCTGATTCGATACGCCTATTTTGAATCGACTACAGATATATTTGGTGAACCCAGAGACGTATAAAGCCAGTGAGTGTATATATATACGTAAGGAACGACAACTCTGAAGAGATTGCACCACCAAAGAGATATCATTCATCATACATAATCTGTGATTTATATTTGACTGCTGATAGTATCATTTTCTTCTTCTTAGGCTTCCTGGACGTTTAATAAAAGCCATACAGCTCAATTAACGCACGGGGTAATAAGATAAACAAAATACGGTGATTGTTGTACAAGATACCAGAGACGTATAATACAGAATTTTTATTTATAGAGTCGTATATGTTGTAGTGGGAACATTAGCTCTGTAGAGCTATTATTACGACAAAAAAAGGTATATAAACAGGATATATAAGACAACATGCAGAAAACAAACAGGCATATAGCAAGGTTTATACACACACTGACAAGATTTTTTTAAATCACAGCATGCAGTAATTAAAAACTTGGCACGTACAGAACAAAGTATACATAAAAATCTATATTAAAATTGATGCTGCACAAAAGATTCGTGACACATGCTCACAAACTAAGAAACCATGGTTCAGTGTATACATAAATGCCAATATGGCATGAGTTAAAAAAATGACCTAATATAATTTATGCTAATATAGCATAAACTAAAAGATGATTTGACAAGCATTGAGTAAGTCATACAATGCGTAAATAAGAGCACTAATAAAAAAATGAAAGGAAGTAAAAGCATAGAAGCATGGTATCACAAGACATGGTATCACAAATGCAAGACATGGTAAAAACTAAGTATAGAAATGATGAAAAAGGTTGGAACAAACAAACACGACTAGTTACATATGGCACAGTAACACAACTGGCTGTACCAAGTGTGCAGTAGTCTGGGAAAGCTCTGGACATTTTCTACTTACCTCAATTCATTCGGCAAAATGATCCACACTTGGGCAGCCTCAAAGCGAAAAGACTTTTTTCCGTACCTTGTTGTGTTAACTCTGGGTACCTGAATGGTGTTCTCTTGCCTGAAATTATATTTAACATTATTTTTAACAATCAAATCATTTAAAAATTCTGGAGCTAACCCATTTAAAATTGTAAAGACTTCGAACTGTAGCCATAGTCTTATTCATTCTAACAACGTGTAAAAATGTGAGGTTGTTTCTGCGTAAAATATCTAACACAGGTGAGGTAAAATCGTTTTCAATAAAACGCAGAGCTCTTTCCTGTATCTTTTCCATCTTACGAGTGTTTCTGAGGCTACAAAAATGCCAGGCTAGGGTAATTGAAATTAGATGAAATAAAAGATTTAAAAATGGTGATCTTTCCCTTGTTGGTAAGATTATTTCCAATTCTTTTTAAAATAGCTAGTTGTTTGGAGGCCTTTCTAAAGATCCTAGATACATGGTCATCAAATTTCAATAAATAGTCAATCTCCACACCTAGCAGAGTAACACTATTTTTACAATCAATTACCTGGTCTCCAATAGAAAAGGATTTAATGTTGTCACAGGATTTTTACAATGTGATATATATGTTTTCATTTTAATTTCATTTTTTTGAATTGGTAAAATAATATGCATTAGATAAATAAAATCAATAGGAATTACATTTTAAACATGAATCATATATATAATATTATTGCGGGGCCGGACCGGAACTACTAAGGTCGGAACGAGAACGACCAGCCGTTTTCGTTCAACTGGTCGGACAACTGTTGTTCGTTTATTAAATAATGTCGGACCTAATTAATCTGATGCTGCTTTCCGACGAGCTTTGACAAAGCCTGCATAAATATTTGCAGGTCCGCCAAAATGAATGCCCGAATGTTACATTTAAAAACGGACAAAGCGGTTGTTCATTACGAGGCTCTTCCGGACGTTACAACGCGTTACCGAGCTGTGATTCGTTATACAAACAATATGGCGGCGCCCAGGTACACGAGAACGTGATAGCTAACTGAGTTCGTGCAAACAGTCAAACAACTCTTTTACATATTTCAACCCTGAGATTTGAAGATCAAGTGGCATCATGGAAGGTGTTTTAGCCCAAAGATTGTGCTCGAAATATATGCACCGTTTGTTTAATTCCACTCGAAATTTTTCCAGATTACACTATTGCGTAAGCTTTTTCAGTGACCTTCTACTAACCCTCTGTTATGACTCACGTATTTAATATTTGTTCAAACATTCTGTTATCAATTAAAAAGCCATTGTGTATTATATTTAGACTAATTATTAAATAATTGGGTTTAACTTCAAACTGTTTAACATGTACCAGTAAAGAGGATATTTAGACCTCTTCACAAGCTCAAGGTTCCTATCGACGTTCAACAACAACGAGTATAGTGCAATAGACAGGCAAAGGCCCTGCATGGACTACAATTAACATGGCACCTCAGGATTCCAGTTGGGCGCTGTAAACAATTTGGGCTGTATGACGGTAACCGCACCATACAGCCCAAATTATGTGGGACTGAGTCCCACCACAAAACGATGCAAAAAATTGCAACAGATAGATAATGTTATTACCCAATAGTCTATATGAATTAGAGTTAGTCATTTTTGACTGTTTCTGGCCTTTTGTCCAATTTTGGCTGTAGGGCATCGTCGGATACCCACGGTTGATTTCGCTTCGGTACTCAGTGAGTACCGAAGCGAAATCAACCGTGGGTATCCGACGATGGCTGTAGGGGTGAAACAGTCAAAACTGTTTTGCCGGTCATAGCAAACTGTTACCCCTTTGAGAGCCCTAGGCTTGTTCAAGCGTTTCGGTGACCGCGACTCAGTGTTGAAGCAATGGTATCATTGCATGCTGCATTGATACTAATATTTATTTGGTAATAAAACAATTGTTTCAATGCTATTTGGGGAACAGTCAAAACAATCATCCCTCGGTAGGGGGAAGCCCTGCGGAACTGTTTGCCCTTGGCCTATAGCGGCTTCGGGCAAACAGTTCCGCAGGGATTCCCCCTGCCTCGGGATGATAGTTGTGACTGTTCCCCAAATAGCCATGAAACAAATGTACAAATTAATCAAATCACAATTCCTTATTTAAGCATAGTAAATTAAATAATTTTTGGGATATATTGTAGCGGAACTGGTCTGGGTCGATCGTCAGCAACCAGGTACATAATTGGTAGTGCATCCGTCTAGAGTTCAGAGGGCCCCGGGTTCGAACCCTGGTCTGGCTGTGCATTTTTCATCTCCTGTTACAGTAATGCCTGTGACCAACCCTTGATTGTTTCAAGCATAGGGTGTATGCTTGGCAAGGGGATGCCTGAAACTGGTTTGTAAATAGCTTTGTCTTCGTGGGCGAAGACTTAAAAAAGGAGGGAGGAATGTAGCGGAACTGGCCGGCCTGAGTTGATCGTCAGCGACCAGGTAGCTCAATTGGTAGAGCGTCTAGAGTTAGGATGGTCCCGGGTTCGAACCCTGATCTGGTAGTGCATTTTTCTTCCCCTCTTACAATATATCTGAATGATTGACGTTTAGATATTTTTATAGGTGGCAGTTAAGTAACATAATTTCATTTCAATTGGATTCTCTTGAAGTTTTGGGTAAGCTGAGTAACAAAGAATAACCAGATGTTTGGTGGCTATTCACTTTGCCACTGTATACAAAGTGATACATGTTCACATTCACAAGGAACCCTTATTACTCGTTTTCAACTGTCCGGTGTGAAAATAATTTCTTGTCTTTGGTTTTATTCATAGTCAAGAATGCCAGTGCAACGGACTTTATACACAAGAAACACAAGCCTTTTAAAGAGAACACAACTGAAACCATCCCAGAACGAGATACGGGGGGCAGCCACTCGGCCAGCAGGAAATGTAACATGAATTGCTTGTACTTTTATTGCATTATATAAAAGCTCTAAAATATATAAAAAATAAAATTTTGAAAAACATATGATGGAAAAAGTAACTTTTTAGTGATATGTCGACAATCTAAATTAATGAATATCTGTTGATACCAGGCTACCTATAACTTAGATAAGTCTGCAGCATCCTGGTCAAATGTACCCATTAAATACATGAAAAGGGAAGTTATTCTGTCCAATATTATAGTAATCAACCATTAATTACACTTAATAACGAAGATAGATATTACATATTTCCAAACTGATGAAGCTTACTGAAGAAAATGAATTACATATCTCTTTTGGAAAACTTCACCCCTAGAAAGAGGTTTATATCAATACCCTCTTTTTTCAGTCTATAACTATAAAATATATCTTCTGTAAAATATGATATATTGAAATGGTGCTTTAAGATATGTCATATTTCAGACAAATGTCAAATCAAGAAAGTATAAACCAAGTTTTCATTCATCTTAAGGTAAACAGGTTTTTAAATTATTGCTGTTTTTTACCAACAGAAAAATGTTGCCTGGGCAGTGACGCTGGCGTTGACTGGTGTGGGTGGCATCGCTTACTATGTGATAGATAACATGGCTCAGAAAAGCAAAAAAGGTAGGAGATTAATTATTCCTGAGACTATTAGGAGGATCGAGAGATGATGTCATTCCAGAGGCAGACCTATAGCCTCAAATTAAGTGTCACCCATTTTAATATAGCCAGAGTTTCCCCTGGCCCCGACACCAGACTTAGACATTTTGACAGATAGATGTCTGTTGCTGGAGTTTCCCCTGGCCCCGACACCAGACTTTGACATTTTGACAGATAGATGTCTGGCGTGGGGCCAGAGCGCACTGCTATATGAAAACGTGGAATTATCCAACACCATTTGGTATCGGAGAGTTATGAGGTGATGGCAACAAGAATCAACTATGACACAACACATACCTGACATATATTGATAAATGGATTATTTATTGATCCAAATCAGCTCTTTTATCACCAACAGCTGCTAAATTTCGTCAGTAGAGTCTTCCATTTTCAAACGTTCAAACTTTCCCACCAGAGCAAACATCATTTTTGTAGGTCATGGGGTGACTAATCAACAAACCGGACTGAAAACAGAATGTATTATTATTGTTTAGAAGATTTTGGGACCACATTTTTTTTGTTGATTAGTCACTCCCCGATACCAAAGGATGTTGGAGAATTCCACATTTTCATATAGGAGTTTTCATGTATAAGGGTAATTGAAAGAAACCTTCTCAAATGATGCACTGTTAGTTGTTGTTTTTCTTTTTGCAGTTACAATGACAAAATATTTGATAACATCATGCAGTTTGACCTTTACAGAGATTGAACAAGAGTACCTCAGGGCGGAACAATATACGCCCGTCAAATGCCATATAGTGTTATATACTTTCTTACATTGAAATAAGATCTGCATCATTCAAAGAGTGGGTAGCTGACATGCTATAAAAATGTAGGAGAAAATCTCCGGATAAAAAAATCAAATACTGAAATGAACAAAGGGCAATTACTTTTGGAAAAATCGTCGAATCAAAATTCTGTTCAAGGAAACACAACATATCATGATTATTTAATCTACTAAGTTTCAAAGAAATCTGTCAAAAAATGTAGGAGGAGATCTCCGTACAAAAATTCAAATACTGAAATGAACAAAGGGCAATAACTTTTGGAAAAAATTGTCGAATCAAAATTCTCTTCAAGGAAGCACAACTTCATATCATGATTATGATGTATACCAAGTTTTAAAGAGATCCTTTGTAAAATGTAGGAGGAGATTGCCAGACAAAAATCAAATACTGAAATAAACAAAGGGCAATAACTTTTGGAAAAATTGTTGAATCAAAATTCTTTTAAGGGAGACACAACTTCATATCATGATTATAATGTATACCAAGGTTCAAAGAGATCGGTCTAAAAATGTAGCAGGAGATTGCCAGACAAACAAAAATTTAAGCCGGACGGACGGATGGACAATGCCATGCCATAATACTCCCTTCAAATTTGACAGGTGTATAAAAAAGTAATTTTGATCAAGTACATAGCTGTCAATACTCCCTCATTTTGACCAAAATTTACCAATCTCCCTCAAAAATCCCTCATTCAAGTCCAAACTTACACAAACTCAAAATCTACATCCAGTGGTTAAATGATCCCCTAGTTACTGCAGGGTGTGTGTAATGAGTATAGCATGTGTGTCTGAATCAAATAAATGCCTTTCGGGTTTATTTTGATACATGAAAAGGGGAAGATAACTTAAGCAAAGCAGTTTCAGCTGCGTTTGATGCACTTCTCCCTCATTGGAAATGTGGAATGAGTGAGATCACCTTCATTGAAAGTTTCAGAGGTTGACACCTATGAAGGTAAAATAACTGCACTGATAAGTAACAGGTGATTTTAGAGGCTCCTTGTAATGTGGATCTCTTTGATAAAAGATTTGTGTTGCAATAAGGTAACCGTAAGATTATTAACAAAAGTTTGAGGGGATATATAGGATTCTGTGTGTACGCATGTTAAACTCGTTATCATCACTCTAGCGACTTCATTTCTCAACGTAATTTCATGAAACTTCATACAAATGTTTAGTATGACAATTCCTTGAACAATTTCACTTTTTTGTTTACTGCGTTGAAGGTCAAGGCCACTGTTACTATTTTAGAAAAACTCTGTCATTGCTCTAGCGACTTCATTACTCAACAGAGTTTCATTTAACTTAAACAAGTGTTTGGTATGGCAATGCCTTGAACAAGGTCACTGTTAGTATTTTTAGAAAAATACTTTGTCATCGCTCTAGCGACTGCATTCCTCAACAGAATTGCATGAAACTTGATACAAGGTTTTGGTATGGCAAATAACCTTGAACAAGTTTGCGTTTTGGGTAACTGCGTTGAAGGTCAAGGTCACTGTTACTATTGAATTCATTCCTCAACAGATTTGATACACTTGTTTGCCATGACAATACCTTCAACAGATGCAGTCACTAGAGCAGTTTATATTACATCATTGAATTTTCAATTCAATGTGTGAATGCGAGAGGATTTGTATCACTTGTGATGTGATGCCTTGTTCCAATATTGTTTTTGTAGTTAAAATTAAGCAAGAGACTCAGGTTGTCGGGAAAATAGAAATAGGAGGGAAGCCCTGGACACTCACTGACCACAACGGTGTGACCAGGACGGACAAGGACTTTGAGGGTCAGTGGGTGTTGTTCTACTTTGGTTTTACACACTGTCCAGATGTGTGCCCAGAGGAGCTGGACAAGTTGGCCAAAGTAGAGGCGGTGTTCCGTGAGTACATGTTTATACTAGTGATAAGAGATTGGATCATCATAGTGTAATAGCTAAGGAATTGGAGGGGGAAATACTGAAGTACTGCCAAGCTAGCTTTTCGAGCCATAAAGAAAACCAGAGGACATGTACATGCTCAGGTTCACTAGCTCAGCAACGTCGAGTGTGGTCAGTTGCTGAATGTTACAATAGCATAAACAGGTCATCAAGGCATTTTCACCAAATGCGGAATAGTATTCGCTTGTTCATTAAGGTATTTTAGTAAATAGTAAACAGATAAACATATTACCTTCTAGTAAATAGAATTGGTTGCATAAATAGCCTGACCAGTGATAAGTGTTTAACTATCAAAGATAATAGATCAGTCACAGGCAAAACTGTTTTGTTCATTTTCTGCTACATAAACTGTTATTTAAATTGGATTTCACTGACGCATTGTAGTAGTTGTGGAAAGTTCATCACTTTTTTTAATGGTGGAAAAGTAATCATAACACTTCTATGTATCTGCTATAGTGAAATATTGCCAAACATTAATTGAACCATATACATGTTTTTTGAAATACTGCCAAAAATTAATTGAACCATGTTTTTTGTACGTTTTGTACCTCCTATAGTGAATTATTGCCAAAAATAAACTGACTCTGGTTTTTTTTGTAGATTTTGTACCTCCTATAGTGAAATATTGCCAAAAATTAATTGAACCATGTTTTGTACATTTTTATTGATTTTTCAGGTCAAAGGAACGACCTCCCGAGCATACAGCTACTGTTTGTGACCCTTGACCCTGAGCGGGACACACCAAAAGCTATTAAGAAATATTGTAAAGGTAAGATAAATGTAAATATAATATTCTTAGCTGGCAATAAGCCCTTGCCTGATAATAGTCCCACCCATGCAAGTCAGTAGAAATGACAACAAATGTCTATTCATTGTCCTGTTATCTCTCGAGCAACCCCTCAATGTGATACTGTGCCCCCTGGTACTATTATGCTTTTCAAAAGGATGCATTGCTTCCATAATTGACTAATTTCAGGACACTTGTATATATACCAATCAAACATTGATGTTTTCAAACCTTGTAGGGCTATTGGGAAAAGAGCGAAACATCTAGACTTTGACTCTCAAATTTTGAACTTTGAACATCTTTGAGATAATATACAGAGGGGTAGCATACATGTATACTTGTATACTTAAGGATACACTAACATTTTCTATTTTTTTCTTTAATCATAGATTTTTATTAATTTCTTTTTTTTTTAAAGGAAAGAAACAAAAATAAACTTCATGAAAATTGTTGTCTGATAAATCAAGCACTACTTAGTGAAGTACAAAATTTATTATCATTCATACAAAAAGTTGGGTTTTACTTGTTAATGAAATGAGCTCCTAGAACACGAGATATGACTTCTAGGGCCTAGTAGATTTTTATTCCAGCTATGATACCTCCCATACCTCCGGCGCTCGACCCCCTGTAAGCATATGAGATGTGAATATCAGTACATGTAGTGTTATATAAGGGGAAAATCTGACGCATCAAGAAATTGGAATCTTCCTCGTTCGATTTATGGAAGTTTGACTGTAACATTATAACATGTATCTTGAGATGATGGTTTAAATGACATTCAATAATATATCTTAAGCATTGTGCAATCCTACAGTGGTAAATACCCTGTAACCTCATCAGAAGGCCTAATATCAAGACTCAAAACTGGTTCTCCTATCATAAATAGTTTTCAAGTAGACATAGATATGTCGTAATATACACTGATGGGTTTTGTGATCTTTGTCCACTTTTGCAGAGTTTTCGCCGACATTGCTTGGTTTAACTGGAACTGCAGAACAGCTTGAAAGTATGAGGAAAATCTACAGAATCTTCTTTTCTACCGGACCAGTAGATGACAGTGGAGATTATCTAGTAAGATATCATAGAACTTTATTTGTCAAGATGTATGTTACCGTAATAGAAACATGTCGTCAATTAGATATGAACAAGAACATCTCATGAGGCCTTAAGTGATATGATCGATACTCCATTACTCTACATTTACCAGCAGCAGTGCAATTTGGTTTTTTTCTTTCTGAAATATTGTGCTTAGAGGTCTGATTTAATCATTGGCTGGGGTCAATATTGAACATGGTGTAGAATGGGTATGAACATTTTTAAAACTTCTTTCGAAGTTCCATAATGCTCAGGGTTCTGATATTTGACTACTAATATAAGCCTGTATGGAGCTGTAAAGTTTTGTCATATCAGTGACCTTGACCTTTGTTTGAGGATGCAGGGGTCTAATATGTTAAGAATTAAAGCTACATTGTCTTAGGACCTCAAGATTTAGACCTATGATACTAGGACCTCAAGGTTTAGACCTATGATACTTGGGTATCATGTGTTGACCAACAGTGCAAGTATTTTGCAAATATACTGTGTTTAGGCCAAAGGGCAAGTTTGAGACATACTGGATTAGGTCAGAGGTTTACAGAGATTGAAATGGGGAAAAACTGGCAATGCCACTTTTAATGAGAATATTTTGCAATGATTGCTTAAGTATACAGGTGATCCATTAGGCTCTCTGGGCCATTTGTTTAGTGTTGGTTAGGTAACAAATATTGGTTTAAGGATTTTTACAGTGATTACTATATCGTTTTATTAGTTTCTCTCAGGAAATGATGTTTCAGTGGTCTATAAATAGAGGTTTTTAATGAGTAATAATTGGCCATCATGTTTATCTAACTCGATTAAATTTTCAAATTGTATAAAGATACAAGGTTTACTGAGTGTCTTTTACATCTGAACTAATGAGAGTTTGATAAACGTGATAATCACGTTCATATTTCATGCAGAAAAAACTTTGAAATACATGTCTCTTTTTGGTGGGGATAAAAATGTCATGAATCATGACGTCCTAATGGAAAATGATGTCAAAGAGCATTGTTATGCGACGTCATAATTTAATGATTGAACAGCTAAATAATGTCCAGGACGCTACCCACCCGTGTATAACCAAAAATGTTAACCAACTCATAGCAGGTTAATGAGTCGTAAGTGAGGAAACTTATAGTGGCTTCGGGAGAAATCTTATTTTGTTACTCGTTAACTGTGCAAAACCTCCACTTATTACTGTGTATGAAGTCTGCTCAATACCATTTACAATGTACCTTTAAATTTATGGATACAGTTATAATTTCATAATGTTGTATAAGTTATTACTTGTATGTTGTAAAATGTACATATTGAATAACTTGCACATGGGACTCATACAAGTTATAACTTTAACAAATGTTTTGTACAAACTGTTACTCATACAAATTACAAGTATATGATATGTGTGAAGTGTTTAATATGCAGTACTGTACCTAGTTTGTTTCTCCCTACAGATTGACCACGCCATCATAAGCTACCTGGTGCGACCAGATGGATCATTTGCAGACTATTACCCAAAGCGAGTGGATAAAAAGACTATGGTCCAACAAATTGAAATAAAGATGAAAAGATATGAAAAAGAGAAGAAAAAGGAATAACATAAATTTTGTTAAAAACAATAAGAAAAATCACTTCATTGACCTGCATAATTATCTGATTTTAATTTCAATTGAATAGCATACCACATTTTGAACCAGACTGATTTAAACATATATAAAAAAGGAGGATAATTCAATTCTGTAAAGCTTTCAGCTGTTGATAGAAATAGTTTAGATATCAGCTGTTCATTGTTCTCAAGTCTATTTGTTTTGGCTAGAATTTGGAAGATATTTTGATATGGTGGTACTATCTTTCTGTACTTTATGATACTAAGCTGTGCTCAGGTACATGTACATTACTTATTGGTACAATGGACCTCCTCCATGAGAGAGTGAACTTGTGTTGAGATCTGTGTACAACTGTACATGACAATTTCCAAGAGCTTTCATTTCTTGTTCGTAGTTTCAACATTTAAATGCATCTATTGCTTGAAAAGTATTAGATATCTGAAGTTAGGTGTGTGAGATATGTACATGTGTGTTAATCAGGAGCTTTCTACTGTAGTATATAATATATTGATTATTTAGACAATTGGTAATACTTGTGATAATAAATATTTCTACTTATATATGACTACACTGCGACCCTAGCCTCTGTCTTATATTCCTTCCCGTGTCTGTCTCCTTTTATTTGTCCTGGGCTCTGCATATATTTAAATGAATGTAGCATGATCATGACTGGATGAGGTAAACATCTCAGATTAGTACCCCATACCCAAAGGTCAATGTCAAGAACACTGTCAATTATGAAATATAATTCTAATCCTGTCCAGGCAGTAATATAGGAGGTACAGTAGTCTAGTGGTAGGATGCTGCGCTTGTGACCGCATGGTTGCAGGTTTGAGTCATGTCACGGCACTGTGTTGTATTTTTGAGCAAGATACTTTACTCTGTTTGATCCAGTCTATTCAGCTGTAAATGAGTACCTGGTTGGGCAGTTGTAGAATTGTTGAATTCTAGCTGTGAGTGCCATATGGCAGCACCAGCTGTATGCTCCCCAGGGTGTTAAGAAACATGTTAGCTGGTTGTAAAGCCCTATAACCACGGATAATAATTTGTGAACCGCTTTGAGACGACCTGCAAACTAGGTTGTAAAAAGGGGTATACAATAACCTCAAATTATTATTATTAATAATAAATTTGGAATGGCTCAATATTTTTTCCCTGCCATCATCAGCTATTTGGTACGGTATCCTTCAGTCAGTCTGTATGTCATGACAAATTCAAAGGCCCTTTTTTGCGTCGCTTCACAAATGATACAAGTGGCCTAGTTAACGTTATGTCCTGAAGATCATTTAGCAGCGAACGGAAAAATCATCAGGTTTTCAAGTTGGATGTAGTACAAGGACAGGCCACAGGGACCTGATAATTTGATAGACTTGTCGGTAAAAATGACACCCCCAATGATCGTATAATCTTAGCCCCTAACACATGTAAAATCACTCTAAACACCTTAGTTTAGGTCCAAATATAGCTGTAAAATTCTCAGGTCCCTGTGGGACAGGCCTCAGTCTAGGGATAGGTCTCGTCTTTAAACCTAAAAACCAATCACATGGCTTATACATGTAGCTAGGGAGCCTTCAATTTTGTCATGACAGATATTCCAAGAGGATATATGCGTATGAGATCGAAACCCCTGGATTCAAAAAAATCTCCATTTTCCTTAGTAGGGCGTGCTTCAGTTTGAAAGGCATCTTATAGCGTAAAATTACCACCATGCAAACATATTTGATTTTTCGTGTGGAAATGTGTGACATCTTATTTTCATAACTACTGAAAGATTATGACAAAAAAATGGTTTTCCTGACACCAATGGTTGGCCTCGCCGCATATATGGTCGATTCGGAAAAGCAAAATGACCAGGAGGCCAACTTTGATATAATTGATATTGTACAGAGAGGTATTATCGCGATTTCTCGAAAAGAACTTGAGGAAAATATGATAATTGTTATGTATGGTCCCTTTGGTACATAGTTATACCTGCTCCTGTATGAAACCAAGTAGTTGCCACCAGCTGTCTTCCGTTTTAGATTATGTTCGTAACAGCTATTTCTAAGAAACGTCTGTGGGAATCGAGAGATACTTTCAACATTGTCTAATCCGTTATTGTGCATGCTACAAATAGGGATTGAATGGATTTTTGTTTCATGTACATTGCGACATCATGTGGAGCGCAATAGCGCTCCTCAGAAGATATATGTAGATGATCAGCTACTGCTATTCATTGCCGCAATTGACATGACAAAAAAATCATTAAATTCGTATATTAACGTTACGGTGAACTACAATAAAAAAAAATACAACACCTTTTGTAAATTAATTGCAATGAGGACTATTAATTTTGGTTTCAGTCCCAGATTACCTCTGTTTTCTTGGGCTGTTAAGTGTCTTGCCTCTGTCGGAATATATACCAGGCGCTAATTAAAAGCTCTAAGATAACTCAGATATCGATTTCCTTTTTAAACAGGAATAGCTTAAAACCTAAAGGCGTTCCAAATTTCCCACAGAACTACATATAACCTAAAGATGTTCCGAGTATGAATCGGGGACCTTTTAGGTTTCCGAAGGGTTAAATGCCGTATTATAAATTGCTATATTGACTGATTTAGATATTTTTTGTCTGACCAACGACTACCGTTAATATTTGCGTATAGTGCGCACTTTTTAAGGGGAAAATGAAGTGTCAAGAAAGGGGTGTACACGATACTCAAGAACAATCGAAAACCAGTCCTTGGTTGAGACTACAAGAACAGTAATGGCTATTATTAATTAGCTATCTATTATATTACATTCGTATGTCTTTTCCGGCACAACAATATGACAACCAAACTGGGCCTCTAATGATAAAATTACCACAACTCAGCCACTATTATCTTGGCCCACTTTCAACTCGGCTAATATGAAAAATGCGCCAAATCGAGCGTGCACTTCATTCGGAATTTCTCGTGGTTATCGATTCTTTTTGACGTATCGTCCCGTGTCAACACAAACAATAACACGGGACGTGATGGAGGATTCGCTGATCAAGAGGGCAGGTGATAAACATGCAAAAAGCGGAGAGGATATGTTAGGGGTATTCATTGAAGAGATAAACAGGTTTGATGTTCTATCCGACATTGTTTCTACGGATAAAGAACTGATATTAACTCTTGAGGAAATTGAAAATTCGGAGAATGCCGACATTGTTCCCCCAGCAGCAGACGACTCGTGATATTTGAACTAAACACACAGATGTAATTCTGCCTGTAAGGTTTTGAAATAGACACATCGTCCTAAAATAAATTACACTGCACTATACAACGGTTTTATCTTTTAAGTACTCAACATTGATGACAAGGCAAAGGTTGGAAATTCCATTTGGTCTAAACTACTTTTAAAATATAATACAGCCCCTTCCTTAAATGAATTTTAAAAAAATACAGGAGGAAAGAAGGCGGGCCCTATGGTTCGTGATGCAAATAAACATTGAAGTTAACGACTTACGTAAAGGAGACTCAGTTGTCCCTGTTCAAAGTTAAATGCAGTTTGTACATACCTGTATGATTTATGTTGTTAATATATGCGCTGTCATTCAAAAGCAACACATTAAACTTCAATACACATGTCTTACCTGTACGTATAAGCTTTATTATAAATACAGATAGTTGATTGCACATTTTGCATTTTAACCAGAATGTCCGGGTTTGATCACATTATCAGACGTGTAAATTTAGGTTTCGGTCACCAACCCGACGGCATGGATTTTCTCCGATGCCTCCAGTTTCCTCCGATATTGAAATTTGAAGTTTAATTTAGACTCATTTGGGGGAAAAAAACGGAGAAAGGAAGGTATGCCGTTTGGTCTTTACTGGTATACACATAAAAACTTGAGATGAAAACAGGAGCACCTCAGATAAGAACATATTAACATTTTAAGTGGTGAAAAGAGGACACCTTAGAGAAAAGCGCATGCAAACTATTATTCATGCGCCACATCATTAGTATTTAAACAAATTTATTTAAAGATTATTCAGTTTAAAAAAAAAAAAACCAAGGTAGTTTAAGAAGGTACGCTTGTAACGTTAGTGAAAAGGGGACACGTTATCTTCGACGGACTTGTAAAATAGGGTGTTACTGATGCAACACATCGTTAATATTGAAAGTTGTTAAGGGTAACTATGAACAGTTATAGTGATAGCCGCATGTAACGTCCGTAAAACAGAGCTTAAGAGTGAATGTAATGTAGTTTGAACGTGGTAGGCGTCTAATGGTGTATCAAAAGTCCATACGAAGTCTCAAAAGATAACATTGTATTCGGTTGGGTATAATAATATTAAGAAGACAACAAGATTATGACGAACTGTAAACAGAATACGAATTCAAACACAAAATTGATAATTTATTGATGCTAGCAAAATATGAATAGAAGAGATTTTCATGGAAAAAAAGTGAGCGTATACATACATGTATAACAGAGTCCGATGGTTAAATAAGACTGACTGTTGTAACACTTTCGGACAACGTTTAAACATGTAATTTTAATGGGTCTTTTTTCAAATTCAGTTATTTGGTATTCGTTACACCTGTATCTGTTTCTAGTTATCTGTTTTAACGCTTCTGATGACAGGAGAATGATATATAAACCTTGTTACACTGTCAGAGTATACATACAAGGTCGTAGTCATAGTGCTTAGCGACACGTGGCATTGCTCCCATTAATGGAGCCTTTCTTCTGTAACGGTGTCAAATTGTCGAACTATTCTACTTATCCACCACTGAATCCATCTCTAGTCGATCTAAATCATTCCACTGACCGTACATGTTTAAAATTCAACAACCAACTCTCTTTGTCAATGGTTTGTGAATCGGTGATATTGTATTGAGATAATAACAGCCATTATCAACACTGCTCTTGTGTCTTATCTCGGGGACAGTGATAATACGTAAACAACCACATGAGCAATTTAGATTTGAAATAGTTATATCTAAGCGAATGTAGAAAATTTAGATTCGGAATAGTAAAACGTACAGGAACGCCATAGGGTCAAGCAAATGGAAAATGTGAGACAAAGCAATTTGGAGGAGAACCAACGAAAACGATAAGGGTAAAAATTAATGAAGACTGGAGAGTTGAAACAGGAAAACAGAATAAAATTTCAGAAACATTCAACTGATGTGCTATGATCTGTCATTACGATGTTTTAAGATAAAAAGAAAAAGAAAAAAACACACCATATGTTACCGATGAACCAAAGGTAACAAAGCTATCATGACTGGAGAGGTGCTCTTACACCACAAGTTGATCCCTTCATATATCAACAAGGCGTATATATCAAGAAGATCTTGAAAAGTATCAGCATTTATACAGTCGCCCATAAACAAATATGAAATACCTTATATTCACTTGGCATATGCAAACAAGTTTCTTTTCCTTATCTTATTTGAGCTACCTGGTAACAGCAGGTATATTTCCAAAATGTTAAAAGATATATAGCTATTAAAATGAGTTACGTAAATATTATGTCAATTGAAATTAATTGCACAGTAGTAGCAACATATGATAGGTAGCAGTATACAGTAGAGGGTTGTGGCCATGTGTGCTA